TTCAAAAGGGGACTTCTAGGCCTAAAAGGGATCTCTAGGTATGAAAGGGAATGTCTGGGTCAAAAAGGAGCAAAAAAGGCAAACTGTGATATTTTCCAGGTGTGCAAAATGGGATCATGTTCTCCTCCAAAGAAGTGGAATCAGAGAACACCTAATTTCTAAATATTAAGCCACCAAAATATTGATAAAGGGACACTTTTCATTTAGGCTGTTGCCTCCCTGTGAAAAACCATTGTTCTGGGGGGAAAAAAAACCCAATTTATTGATTCTGTTTCTACTCAAGATGGAGCATTCCTGAGGTGGAGGTGTGCTTCCCATCCTCTCCCAAATCAAACGCTCCAATTTTCCATTTAGAAACCATTTTTCACTTCCATTTTTGTAAAGCACAAATACTTTCTTTTTTAAAAGAGCCAAAATAGAAACGGGAGTTCAGATTTTATTTGAAGCTGGGGAAGAAATATTTTGTGTGGGAACTGAGAGGATCTTTGAGTATCTCAAAATTTTGAGCCCTCCTTCTTCTGATTTTCCAAAACCCACCTCAAAAAAAAAAAAAAATGTGGGGGAAAAAAACCAAAAATGCAGGAGAGATTCCAGCTTACAAGGAGCAGCTCAGTGTGAAGGTCAGCTCTCCATGTTCCTGCACAGCACGTGCCAGAATATTTCACTGCTGGGACAGAAAGTCTGTATTTAAGCAGCAATAACTCACGGGAGGGATTGACAGGTTGGAATGCACCTGGTTCAGGCTCTTGCTCGCTAATATCATTCCCAGTTTTCCCTGCTGAAAGGCAGCTGGGATGGTTTATGGGATGTCCAGCTTTTCTTGGGGCTGTTTTAGTTCAATTTGCTCCCAAAAATTAAACTGGTGGGGTAGGATCCCTCGAGGGACAGATAAATTGGAAAAGCCTCAGTGTTTCCCATGTGGTTGTGCCAAATTTCTCCCTTTAAGGACACCCCAAAAAACACCAGAATCTCCCCAAAATTCACCAGTTGCTTCTGAAAATCGAGGCCAAGCTCCTGAGCTGGCAATGTTGTTTAAAAACAATGGGGGCTGGAGGAGATGAGAATTATTTTAACACTTGGGAACGCTGCCAAGTCATTTCCTTCTCCTTTATTGATTTTTTCCGTTGCCAGTAAATATATCTGCGGCAGCAGGATGAAAGGAGAGGGGGGGAAAAGCAAAGTGTTAAAAAGGAGAATGAAACAAGATCCGTGCCCTGAACCTCTGAGGAAGGAGGAGGACATTTTAAGGCAGGAGGAAGCAGGGGATTCATGGAGGCATTTCGCGGGGTTAGACGCGGCAGCAGACAGCCCAATATTATTTTCCTTGCCTGATCCTTTACTTAGATTGGCTCCTGTTTCTTGCCCTCATTGTGCAGCCCCTGTGAGAGCTGCTCTCCGTGCAGAGACATTCCACCTACATTCCTTTGCCACCGGGTGAGAGGAGGGGGGAGTGCAATTATGTGGGCAAGCCAGACACAAAGGGCTCTGCTCCACAGCTCCAGCTCATAAACTTCAGTTCACTTTTTCCCCCCTTAAAACAATATTTAAAACCCCTCGAAAAAAACCAACCAAACAAAAAAACACAAAGCTCTGTTCCTCTCCTACCTGCCTGCAAGTGAAGGGTTTGGAGCTGGAGCTATCCCTCCTATAAATATTTCCCTCCCCAGCACTCTGTAGAATAAATAGGTTTTAATTTTTTGGCAGCATCCACGCTTCTCTCTGTATTTTTTTTTTTGGTTTTTATTTTTTTATTTTTTATTTTTTACCTGCATCTTCTCTGTGCTAATCACAGAATCCCAGAATGGTTTGTGTTGGGAAGGACCCCAAAGATCCTCTCATTCCAAAGAACCTCACCTTCCACTGGAGCTGCCAACAGATTGAAAAGTTCCTGGGATTAAAAGGCATCCCAGCAACACCTTCCACTGGGAACAGATTGAAAAGTTCCTGGGATGACAAGGCCATGGAGGTGAATAATTTTCCAGGTGCATTTATGTCATAACATTTATTGGGATCTAATGGGGGCCATTATGGCATTTACCCAAGAAGATTCCAGGCTGCAGGTGTGACCCTGCTTTTCTCCATCCTGGAGGGTTGTGGCACCATCCTGGGGGTGTCCCACCACAGGCACCTCCAGAAGGAGGCACGGAGGTGTCTCTGAAAGCCCTGGGAGACACAAAAACCCAGCAGTGATGGAATCCTGCAGCTGAGGAAGCTGCAGTGTGGAACAAACTTGTTTGGAAGTTCAAACTGGGACAGGTGAACACAAACTTTCCAGGTGAGCATGCTCAGGGCTGGGAGCAGGGCAGGGTTTTGTTGTCCCACCTGTGAGCCCTGAGCTGCATTATCTGGGCTCTCCCCACGAGCAGGGCTGTGGAAATGCTGCTGCCCTGCTCTCCCTCCCTATTGATTTCTGTGCCCCTGCACTCCTTCTTCCCATTTTGTCTAATAAGCAAATTTCATTACCTGACTTCACAATTTTTCCTCTGGGCCATTAGAATTGCTTGACTGTATTCCTGGCAGAGCCCTTAATTAGAGATGGATCAGAACTGATGTCATTAAAGTGATCCATTAACCACACTCTTCCTTCCACTCCAAATGCAGGTGGCTCGCAGAAAATGTGACCTGGATCCAAATGGCCACTGAGAGCTGAGCCCCAAAGCTCCTCAGACAGCAAAAGATGGAGAAAAAAGTCAAATTTAACCTTCCACAGATTGTCCTGACACAGGAAACATTTCTAGGTTTATCCTGAAACCAAAGCATTTGTGATGGGTAAATTATTTCATTTCTCTCTGTGCTTTTTGCAACACTGGATCCTTACTCCAACAAGGTAAAAAATGTTATCATTTTTCCTCTAGTCACATAAAAACCATCTGAGACAGAATTTCTTCTTCAGGCACCTTGAGAGCTCTCTGGAAGCCAGTACAATTTTATATTTCCCTATAAACGCCAATTAGGTTGGACTCCATATGCTGAGAGAGACATTTTGGCTTTCTGCTGCCTTGCCCAGCAGCCTGGCACTCGCTGAAATAAATCACAGCTCTTTTCGGAGCTGGACGTGGCCAGAGGTGGACGCAGAGGAGCTGAACACGATGATCTCAGAAGAAATGCTCTGAATTAAGCAGGAGGTTGCTAAGCCACCAGACTGCTGCAGTCTCCAACCAAAGTTACAGCGCTGAGTCCTTGCACAAAATGGGGTTTTCCAAGGGAAACAAAAGTCTGCAAGGACACAACCTGAGCTGGGCATGGCTGGAAAAACTCCTGAAGTCATCCAGGATTTCATCTTGCATCTCTTACAGCAAAACCAAAGAGCCTCCCTTGCCCCAAAATCTGGAGCCTGAGACTGAAGTCTGCCTGATTCCCTGATTATTTTTGTTTATGTGGACATTAAAATAAAAATAATGTTTCATTTCCCCCATTTTTCATTGTCTGCCCCAGTTTTCCCCCAAGGAATGCTCAGCACATATCCCAGATCATCATTCTGAGGGCTGAGACTGGATGGGCTTTAAGATCCCTTCCAACCCAAGCCATTCTGGGATTTTAGGATCTTTCTAGAAAGTTTTTCCCACCTCTTCAGCAGGCAGAGAGGGTTAATTTGGCCTTTCCCTGGACCTAGCAGGGCAGCACCTGCTAGCAGGGGTGGGGTGTTCCCTTGCACAGCTTGTCAGAGGCAAATCATTATTATTATTATTATTATTATTATTATTATTATTATTATTATTATTATTATTATTATTTGGTGAAAT